TATTTCTTTTACATAGATTGGGAACCATTCAAGAAAGGGCAATAATTTTTGCTTTAACAATTTAATATAATTTAGAAAATTTGAAAGAAAAGCCTATTTTGTTTATCCATGTTTTTACTCTGTTCTTTTACATGCTAGAATCTGATGTCCTAAGAATATCTTTATTTTTTTCTATTTTGAACATTTTCTTCAGCCATTTTTGTTGAGTAGGTCTACTGGCAACAAATTCTCATAGTTTCCTTTCATGTCTTTATACTCCTCTCATTCCTGAAAGATGTTTTTTGCCTTGGAAAATTTTATTTATGCATTTGGGGTAGAGGGCTCAGTCTTTCTTGGCACCCACCTTCCTCACAGCAGCCAACACATTTCTCAGCTCCTCTCTCTTCCTTTTGGCCTGCATGTGTGTTCCCACCCTTTCCCTGATCAACTTGAGGACGTGCTTGTCCTTGGTGACCTTGAGCAGATCAATCATGCACTGCCCATAGTGGGCACAGCTGTTGGATTATATCCTGCATGAATTTTCTGGGTGCCCATGGTGGTGGCTGTGTCTCAGCTCATGTTCTTGGTCACCTTGTGGCTCCTGCTGAGGCCCACAGCCATGGGGTTAGTGCAGAACCATGGCTTCTGACCAACAGTGGTTGCCCTGGTCCCTGGTGGAAGCTGAAGGATAATTTTGTTGGATATAAGATTTGGGGTTGATAGTTCTTTTCCTTTAGCACTTGAGAAATATGCCATTTTCTTCTGGCCTTCTGTATTTCTAATGAGAAGACTGATGTCAGTAGAATAGTTTTTCTCCTATAATTAATGTAGTTTCTCTCTGGATGCTTCTGAGATTGTTTCTTTGTCTTTAGTTTTGATAAATTTGATTATGATGTGTCTTGGCATGGGTTCTTTGGGCTTACTGGGTTGGGGTTTCATCAGCTTCTTGAATTTGTAGGATTGTCTACTGCCAAATTTAGGAATATTTTCAGCTATCATTTCTTTCAATACTTTCTCAGTTTTACTCTCTTTCTCCTCTTCTTCTAGGACTCTAAAGACACAAATGCTAGATCTTTTTAGTTCCATGTATTGAGGATCCATCAATCTAATTTATTTTTGTTGTTCAGATTGTATAATTTCTATTGTGATAACCTCAAAATATCTTTCCTGTGTTCTGTTCTCTTCATGCTTTTGTTGAGCCATCCATTAAGTTTTTAATGTTAGTTACTGTATTTTTTAGTTGTAAAATTCATATTTGGTTCTTCCCTGTCCTTCACATTTCTTTGCTGAGACATTCTTTTTTTATTTGTTTCAAACATTATTGTGATTTCTTATTGGAACATTTTTATGGTGGCTGCTTTAAAATCCTTTTCAGTTATTTTAAACACTGTGTCATCTTTGTATTGGCAACTGTTGCTTGTGATGGGAGTTTTTTTTGATGAAAACTGGGCTTTTGGGGGGAATCAAAAATTCTGGATTTTATTTAAATCTTGTGTTTTAGTACACTTCTCTTACCACTTTGGCAGGGAAGGGAGGTTCCTCTTCATTATTGCCATGTGGTAAGGAAGTTCAGGTTTCCCACTTGACCTTCATCAACACTTGGCGGGACTTATCATTGTTAGGTGCACTTGGGAGATCTGGCTTCCCAGTAGGACCCCACTGATACTATCCTGGCTGGGAGAGGATAGGGTACTGAGTTATTGCTTCCTTCATGGTTTCCATTAATCTGTGGGGTGGGAGGTGGCTTTGATGCTGCTGATCAGTGGTTAAGGTCTTTTTTTTTTTTTTTTAAAGATTTATTTATTTATTTATTTTATTGATTGATTTATACATACATGCATACAAGCACTGGGTACAGTCAGAAGCGCGGGAGGGTGAGAGAATTCACCAGAGCCAGAGAGGGGAGCAGAACAGGCAGAAGGACCGAAGTACACTGCTGAGGGGAGCAGCGGGCGGCAGGAGAGGTCTGCGCGCCATGTGGGACCCTCCTGCGGTGACCGGGGAGCAGCCGGGGATCGAACCGGCGCTGCAGAGGCTGCGGGCAGCTTCGCAACCCAGCGCTCAACCGCTGTGCCACCGGGGAGGCCCAAGGTCTTGACTCTATATTTGGCTCCCTCTGATATCACCCCCCAAAAGTAGGGGGAGTGCCTCCTTACCATCAAGTGGAGATGAAGTCCAGGTTCTCCAGGTGGTTTCCACTAATACCATGCTGGATGACAGCCTCCTTATTGCCAATGGGAATGAAAGTTCCAGCTCTCTACCTGGCCTCCTCTGGCATCATAACCACAGAGTAGGAAAGAGGTAGTGACAACTCTTTATAGCCTATCTTGGGTGAAAGTCTAGGCCTTCTACTCAAGTTTTGCTGGAAGGGAAAGTTGTGGGGCTTAATTTTTTTGTTTGTTTGGTTTTTAAATCTAGTTTTTTTTTTTTAAAAAAATGATTTATTAATTTATGCATACAAGAACAGGTGTAGGCCAGAGATGTTGCGGGGAGGGTGAGAATATTCACCAGAGACAGAGTGTGGAGCAGAACAGGCAGATCTACTGAAATACACTGCTGAAGGCAGCAGTGAGCAAGACAGGTAAAGTCTGCTGCACCATGTGGGTCACCTCCCTGGCCAGCCAGGGAATCGAAATCGTGCTGCAGTAGCTGGCAATAGCTTGATAGCACTATTTTTAACCCTTGTGCCACAAGGGAGGTACCTTAATCTAGTTTTGGTAGCAGGGAGTCATTATTGGGTAAAGGTTTTCTGTCTTCGTAGGCTTCCTCTTTCCTGATCCTTTGGTTAGAAAGAACAGGCTTTTTTGGGGGTTTTGTCTTTACCTGTTGGCATTTCAGCTTACCTACTCCTCCATGACCTGATTTGGGATAATCATACAAAACAAAAATCCAGGGAACTTACCACTGTGTTATTCTTTGGGTCCCAAAGTCCCTAGCCAGTCTATCCTCTCTCCACTTTTCATAGTTTTCTTATGCTTGTTTATATATAATGTCCAGGGCTTTTAGTTATACTAAGCAAGAGGATTAGGGAACACTGTGTCTATGCTATCGTCATGGGAACAGAAATTCCTTGTCCTATTTTCATGGAAGGTCATGGTACTATGTTAACTAGTGGGATTATTTGTATAATATCCTGGCCAGGAAATTAGAGTTCTTACACTTGCATTTGAATAAGATCCAACTCAAACTGGCTACAAAAACATTGAAATGTTTTGTCTTGTTTCCAGAACAACTCCAAGTAGGAGTGAAGTGTGCGTTGGCTAATGGGATAGTAGGTCTGGAAAATGTTTCCCAGGAAACTGGCTCAGTCTTGCAGAAAGGACTAAGGATCATCTTCGGTTTATTACTGGGATACCCACACTCTGCAAATTGGCAAGCAGAAGTCTAACGTTTCCAGAACAGTGAAGAGGGACTGGAGAGTACATAAACTGAAGATATTAATAGAAAACATGAATATATTATTTGAAAGTTAATTAACAATTAATTAAAAATAAAATTTCCTGTTTCTAGAATTTCTGGATAACTGGTGAGGATTTCCATGATATATCAATGGACTAAAGTGAATAAAAGCAACACACAGAATGTGACACTATAGTGCTTGCATAACAAGGGATACTGCTGAATATATGCATAATTGTTATGCATAAGATAAATCTGTAAGGACAAATATAACTAAGAGCATACCTAGGGGGCATGAAAGTGGGTACCTGGAGTACAGGGAGATATTTCAATTTTTATATTTTTACCGTCTTTTAGGTTTTGAACTATGAGCATTCACCCATTATTTTCTCAACACCCTCTTTCCATACTTCCTCTTCTGCCACTTCAGGTCTTTGAAAAAAATGTATTTCCTCATTCTCTTGGGGTTTGGGACATAGTTTGTGGTGTGATGGCCAAATGTATCAAGGTTAGAATTTATGGTGGCTTCCTTAGGAAAATAGTGAAGAAAACTGAAATCAGCCAGCACCCCAAGTATTGCTCCTTTTGAGCCAAAACCAAGATGAAGAGATGAGCTGTGAAGACCTTTTCCTATATGGAAAGAGTACCTGGTGGTACCTAGACCTACATCATTTCTGCTGTCACAGTCAAGTCTGCCATCAAAAGAGGAAGGATTTGAAATACTGTTCCACCATTTGAAATGCTGGTAATAAATGGGTTAATTTATGTAACAAAAATATATTTGTAAGAATTGTATTTCTTAATAAGGGCCACTGTCAGATATATGTACTATAGATATCTTTTCTATTCAGTTGCTTGTGCTCTTACTTTTTAAAATTTTTAATTTTTTTATTTATACATATTTTACATCATTGTTCATTTTTAAACTATGTTTGCTTTCCCCCCCATCTTCCATCTTACGCTTTTAATGGTGTCTTTCCAGGTCTCAAATGTAATGATATCCAATTATCAACTTTTCCTTCATGATGGATGCTTTTTATGTCCTTTTAATTCTTTTCCCATTTCATGATCACAATATTCTGCTGTTCTTTCTTTTCCAGAGCTTTACCTTTCACACTTAGGTCTATAATCCATGTTGAAGTTACTTTTTTTTTTTTTGTATGATGTAGTGATCGAGGTTCATTTCCTCCCTCAATTGACCTTCAATTGCTGGCACTATAGAAAAGAATTTTCCTATTGCATTATAGTGGCTTCTTTGGGGCGGGGGGCAAGTGACTACCTACCTGTGGCCTTGTTTCTGGCATCTCTATTATTCTTCATTGATTTTTAATTTTTCTTTGTCCTTAAATTAGTTTTAATTATCGTGGTTTTATAATAATTCTTGATAACTATAGCGTTAGGGTCTATTTTGTCCCCCACTACCACCCTCCTCACCCCCGCCACCGCTAAAACTCAGAACCCAAAGCAGAGCCTTCCGACTTCGCCTCCAGAAGACTGAAGGTGGCACGTAGCTAGGAGACGCCATTTAGACCTCAGCGACCCGCCCCTCTTACCTGTACGTCGAGGGCCGCCCACCCGACGCGCACGCGCAGCCTGAAGACCGGGATTGGACAGAGCCACGCGCGGTCGGAGGTACGTCACTTCCGAGGCGGGAGGATGGAGTTGATTGACCATGTTCTCTGCGACAGTCAGGTAGGGGCTGGGAAGGTAGAAACCTGTGTGGCGAGGGGTTTAGGATCCCGCCTAGATCCGAGGCGCGGGGGCGTGTCCCGACTCGAGGGACTTCTTGGCCCGGGGAGGGACACCGCTGTGGAGGCCGAGCGGAGGCCCTGACCCTGAGGGGCGGCTGCCGGTTGCCCCGGCGTCACAACTCAGGAGGGTTCGGTTCAGGACTTAGAGCCTTGACTCTGGCGTTTCTCCTTGGCGATGCCGCGCCTGCGCTGAGGGCTGGGAGTCTGGGCTTGCCCTGGAAATGGGGTCAGGGAGGCGGCCCTGGCATTCGCGGGGGCGAGACGTGTGGATCGGCCCCGGCCTGAAGCACGGAGCCCCGCCGAGTGCAGGGGGCGTGACCAAGGCTCCAACCCTGGAGACCGGGGGCACCTTACTCTCCTGTTTAGAGTCTAGATTTGTAAGGGAAATAGCATTTTTCAGAAGGCAGGGGAGAGTGCAGATTAGAGCCCCCGCGAGATACCTACCCGTTGGAGATAGCTGTCAGTCCTCGCTCTTCGCTTCTTGATTGTGCGATTTTAGGCAATTATCTTGTACTTCTTGTGTCCTTAGGTGTAAGTTTGTGAATAATATCACCACTAATAAGATTGTTGGCAAGAATAAGGTACTCCGCCAGTGTCTGGAGGAGAGTAGTTACTCAAACGGTACCCGTAGAATTCTCTTTTCAGTCCTTTAGCTATTGGTAGAGTAATCTGAGAGTTGAACAGTTACTTTTGAAGTAACTTCTGGTTTTCGTAGACACCCATTAGCATAATTCTTGCTTCTCTTAGGGAATTGAGAGGAAGTGCTCTTCACATCTTCCATCCTGGCAGATGGAAAATAGAAAAAAATTAACAAAAAAGGTGGTCATACTAAAAGATGAATTCCGCAAAACACAATTTATGTATATATTTTTAGAATGCCTTCCTTTAAAACAAGCCCTCTAAGGACTCTATAAACTTTGGTCAACTGTTAACCTGGGAAGCCTCACCTGAGGACTCAAGTGCTAAGAAGTTTAAGACGTTTGTCCAAAGTTACACACTAGAAGTGGAAGGTCAGGGATTTAAGGAGTAAGATACCTAAAACAGGCAAAGATAAAGTTGCTTGCTAGGAAAGTGGCAGCTGGACAAAGAGATCCTTGACTTGGTGATACCAAGTTAGAATTAGCAAAAATGATTCAGGGGTTTTTTTGTTGTTGTTGTTTTGTTTTTTTGGAAGGCTAAGGAGCAGAATTTAGCTTTTTGAGGACCCATCAAAATGGCTGTTGTAGCTATCTCCTACTCCTTACCACCACAGAGTAAATTGGGTGGTATCACCAAATGTTTTCAGCAGAGTAATAGAAGTTGAAATTACCCATAGCAAGTAAGTGGGGGAGGTAACCTAATAGAGACAGGCCTCTATGTAAATCCTGTGCTCATTCTCATACAGGGGCTGCCTTTGAAGACGCCCTTGTTAAAGAATTTATATTCAAAGGGTAATGTGGAGCCTTTTAATAGCATAGTTTATCAACATACAGAGCTCTCTCAACTTTTCCTAAGGTCAGGATGCTTTCTGTTTCTCTTGAGGCTTATGGGAGGGAATGGAGAAAGAATGAGGGAGTAGGGTCATAACTGGACCTTGGTCAGGGGTGATTACTATGACCAAATGCTTCTCCTTGATGGGATTCCCTGGGATGGTACTCTGATACTCCCCAAAATGATGTAGTGAGTCTTCCAGATAAACACTTGCCTGACGTTTACATCATCTTTAAAGGAATGCATTATAAAGTCATATATGTAAGTTGTGTTTTGCTGAATTAATCTTTTTTATAAGAGAATTACTTAACTTGTTAAATTTTTTTTCTGTTGTAACATTTGGAGCTTCTTTGGGGTTATACTTTTTATGCCAGTGTTGTTTAATAGGGTAGGTGGGGGTTTCTTTGATTGTAGAAGACACAAACTAAAAAAAAAAAAAAAAAAAATACACTACTGGAAAGGGTCTTTATTGTAAATTTTTTCTGGATTGTAGATTGATTAGAGATCTGATTGAAACAGTAAGACAATAATTCCCATGTGCTAATGCACATGTATGTGCTATGTCATTTTTTAGCCAAGAGGGAACTATCTTTGGTACTGTTTTAGTTCCATTTTTACAGGTGAAGAAATGGAGGCGTAGACAAGTTAAAAGATTTGTTCAAAGTTGGAAAATCTAAGAAAGGACCCAAAGTTAAAGGGAATGTATTGGGGAATGCAGAATGTACCAGGAAGAGTTGGGAGGTGGCACTGTGATGCTGGAGAACACCAGAGTGAAGGGACAATTTCTCATTGAGGCATGGAATTTTCTACATGGAAAGAAGGAGAGTTGTGTTAAGTGCAAAAGCCTGTTGCTTTAGCTCAGTGTCCTGGGTGAAGGTCAGCATAGTTCGACTAAGGTCCTGTAAGTTTTGAAACCCAGGTTTGGAGCCTTGCTGCCCTGACATAATGGATTCTGGACATGTCTTGCTTCGAAAGAACCTAACATTGTACATAAGAGTATGCAAGCCATGTAAATGCATGATCACTTCATATTCAAAAAAAGATTCTTGACTTTAGAAACAGATTTGTTTCAGAGTTCTTTTAGATAATACATTCCAATAGAATACTTAAAATACTCGCTTTATTCAGATTTGCAACTGTATGTTTGCATAATGGGAGCTTTGTTTGTGCCCTAGCCAAGAACATGGAACGTCTTTCCTACCATACACACTGCTCTTTCTCTCCATTCTCTAAGAATTATAATAAGAGTCAACAGTCATTTTTATGTGCCAGGCACTATGCTAAGCACTTACTGGATTATTCAATCCTCATAATAACTGTGTAAAGTAGGAACAATTATCTTCATTTATAGAGGAAGAAATAGTCTCAGCAATGGTAAGAAATTTATCCAAAGGCACAGAGCTAGTAAGGGCAGAGCCAGTTCTTTGTAGTGCTTATTTACGTATTTCATTCATTCCTTCATTTAGCAGATATTTATTGAACATATATTCTGTACCAGCAATGTGCTAAGTGTTGGGGATACAAGTGTGGCTAAAATGGACATCCTTGTCCACAAATTGCTTTTAAATCCAACAAAGGAGGTAGAAAGCAAATAGAGAACTACTATTAATTATGGTTGTGAAGGGGCCTTCTTGGTGGTGCAAGGGGTTAAGTCTCAGCACCATGGAGCTATCTATCGGCAGCCACTGCACGAGTTCAATCCCGGGCCAGGGAGCTAACCCACATGGTGCAGCAGACCTCTCCTGTCTCATGTGCTGCTCCCCTCAGCAGTGTATTTCAGTGGATCCACCTATTCTGCTCCCTACTCTGTCTCTGATGAATCCTCTCACCCCCTCCCCCATCTCTGGCTTACACCTCAGCTCTTGTATGCATAAATAAAAAAATAATAATTACAGTTGTGGTACATGCTAGGAAGGACTGTAGAGGGTGCTATGAGAATATATAATGGGGTCATTTGATAGGGGAGGGCGGGGTGAAAGACAGGGAAACCTTTCCTGAAGAAGTAATATTTATCTGAGATCTTCAGGCCTGAATTAGACTTAAATTGAATGAAGAGAAGGGTGAAGAGCTACCAGGGAGAGGGAAGGACATGTGTGAAGCCTTGAGAATAGGAGGAGGTTGTGTCTTGTCACTGGAAGACCCATGTGGACAAAGAATGTTGCAAAGTCAGACACAAAATATAGATGGAGATCTTATTCTGAGAGCATTATTTCTCCCAAGTCTTGATGTATTTGCTTCTCAGAATAGATAGTCAACTCTATAAATCATATCCATTTTCCAGCTCTGTTTTGCAGTCCACCCTTCTTCAAACATGGGGTTATATCTTTGGTTACCCACAAGTTGGGGGTTGAGGAAGAGAGGAGAAATAAATACCTAAATGGGATACTAAAGTGGCATGGGTAATCAGCACTGCAAAGCTTAAATAGACATAGAGCACCAATATTTGTATTTTATCATATTTGTCTCTGGTATGTAAACGGATTTAACAAACATGTTTTAGCCTCACTGTTTCTAAGCCCTGTGCTAGCCACCTGGGATACAAGCAAGTATAAATGCACCCCCACCATGCACAGTTAATGTTTTCCTTTGCCTTCTATTTATATGCTACAGTAGTCTTGTCAATCTTATTCTTTAACATTTATCTAGAATCTACTTTGTGTTAGGTGCTGCTAGACATACTTCATGAGCAAGTAGGCATGCGTCTCAGAACTCATGGAATGTAAGCTCTCCTTTGGGACTAGAGGACAGAAATGAGGGAGATGAAGTTGGAGAGGTAGGCAGAAGTCAGACCATGTAGGCCTTATAGGTCATGCCAAGGATTTGGAGCTTATCCTAAGAATGGTGAAAAGCCATTGTAGAATTTCAGCCAGGTGTAGCACCAATAGGGCTGTGTGTATAAAAGATAACTCTGGCTTCTCAGTGAAGACAGAAGTCCATGAATTTGAGGGCTATTGAGGAGGTTAGAATCAGGGGGGCTTGGTAATAGGTTCACTCGGGTAGGAAGGGGGAGAGAGGTGTCAGGGCTGATTCTTCATTTTCTGGCTTGGACATCTGAGATAACTTTTTTTTTTTTTTTAATTTTCTTACCTTGTTGTTCATTTTTGTACAGTATTTGATTTTTCCCCTCCGGTGTAGTCCCTGTAAATATCCCACCACCACATCACCTGTGAACCATCACCATGGTCCCTTGTGCTCTTTCTATCCCTGTTTTGATCCCTTCATAGAACAGGAAATGAGCCAGTTTTGACTTAAAAGTCTGTGCAGAATGTTTTTTTCTCTTGCCTTCTAGGCCAGGGAGGGTTGATCCCAGAGCATTTACAGTATGGTCACAAAGGAGGGAGAAAAAAGATTGCTTTCCTTTTGGTGACAGAGAAATTTCAGTTTTTAAAAATTTACTGACACGTGCAGTAAAACGTTGTGCTAGTGTACACAATATGGGGATTATTCTGGCGATGATTTTTAAGTGAGTTC